GTAAGTAGTAAGTACGCTTTAGACAAGTATGATTGATGAGTAAACAACCTGCATTTATAACTCTGCTTTAGGCAGGTATAATTGACGAGTTTAACAGTATGTCCGTTTTATTCAGGTTTGATTGCTGAGTAAAATAAAAGCTCCGCTTTAGACAGGAATTATTAATGAGAGGAATGGTAATTCACTTAAAACATGTATGATCAATGTGTCAAACGGTAACTTCACTTTAGACAGGTACGTATCGTATGATCGATAAGTAGAAAAATACATTGCATAGAGATGGAACAAATACGTATTCCAAACAATTGGTACAAATACACGGATCATGTACATACCTATAAAAAGTCCTGTACCTAATTTGAAAGTTATCAAAACAGAGTTGTTTATCTCCTTCGATTTCGCACGTCTTCGTTAAGCTGTAGCTTCCTTCGTCGCTAGCAACAGTGACAATGACGACAGGAAATCTCGCGTGACGACTGTCTATAGTGACGTCATAGAAAGAAGTATTAATAGCGCGCGAACGATATATGCATTTTTCTAACGCGTTGCTGTGTATCTTGCTTAGAAAGTGAAGGAGTTGATGCAGTATTTTTGGAAAAGGGGTTTTGTTGTAAATTTCGAGAGAGTTGCCTCCTTTAAACTGTAGACCGCGCCTACAATATCGATGTGACATCTCGGCGCGGTCTCTTTTCATCAGACCGACAACACGTGAGTGATTTCCTCCACATTGGTACTGATTTTGGGACCTAAGAGCAATCCCCTTCTCCATGTAGAGATGGTTTTGTACAGTGTACACCACATTTCTCTACAGTTTTCAACCTCATTTATTTTAAGTGTGTCCTATATGTATATTTTGACATTGTGGAAGCTTATCATCTCATAGAGACTTGTGGAGGAATCACCCCAGGAAGTTCTGCCCTTCCTTTTATCATTAATGATTCACATGGGATCTCTAACATTAAAAGAAACGAACTAGTAATAAACATATTACCATTAAAATGTAAGTTACTCCCTATAGTATAATTGAGGGTATATACATAACTTTTTTAAATCATACATAAATTATTATTATTATAATAAACAAGTCTTCACAATAAAATATAGTGTAAAAGCTTGATACATTGTAAATAGTTGTAATCCCTGCGCAACCGCAGTCCGTTGATGGCAGGCTATTCTGCTCGCAACAAATCAAGTGAGAAGAGGAGATTTAGACGTCTTCACAAGCTCAAGCTTCCGATCGACGTTAAACAACAACATAGAAATAATTGTGTAAATAAATGAAAATGAAATAAGTAGGAGAGGACTAAGAGAACAATAACTGAGAAATAGTCGTTAAAACTTCAGTTTACATGTTTCGGGCCACTAGGCGTACTGACTACTGCTACAAACTGACATGTACGCTTGATGATATCTTTAGTATTTCCAAGGAAGTGAATACGTGTCGATTAACTTCTGGTCTCCTGTATTGAGTGCTGTTCTATGTATGTTTTCGTTTTATATGAATCTTTAGCACGCATATTGTAAATAGAGGATCTTTAGGCTGGTGTCATATCAAATTATTGAACTCGTTTAATAAATTCTATATGACATGGACATGAATGTGAGATTCTTTTTATCACATAACATTCAATATTTGAAGATTTTTTTTTCTAACACAATTATGTGTTATCGGCTGACTATATATAGGTCAAAACCAAAGAACTCCAGTCATACAAGTAGTGTTGTCGTTCCGCGCAGTACAAAGTATTTCCTTTTTAATAATGACCAGTTTTAAATGCAATCAATGAAAATAATAATGACAAAGCAAAATTAACATTTGAAATTCGTTTGATAGCAAAAACATTAAAATCTATTAGAATAAATGCAGTTACTAAAGTTTACAATTACAATACAAGGTTACAGAGGTCAAATCTGTCAAAACACTTTAACAGTTTCTTCTCAAGAACCAAGATTAACACACCAATGTTTGTGAAAAGAAATGACCTTGACCTATATTTAAGGACACAAAGGGTTTTGTTAAGACACTTAAACCGCTTCCTCCTACGAACCAAACGCTAGCTGTAAGTATGAAGCTTGCTGGCGTTGAGCACTACATACTATGGGAAATGAAACGACTGTTTATACACAAATATATATCACATTATGGATTCACAGAACAAAATATCACACAACATGAAAACACACGTGACAAAATATATCACAACGTAAAAACACACGTTACAAAAATATCTCACAGCGTTAAAAACACGTCACAAAATATATCACATGGTAAAAACACATGTGACAAAATATATATCAGCGTTAAAAACACGTAACAAAATATATCTCGGCGTAAAAACACACGTGACAAAATATTTCACAGCGTGAAAAACACGTCCCAAAACATATCACAACGTAAAAACACACGTTACAAAAATATATCACAGCGTTAAAAACACATCACATAATATATCACATGGTAAAAACACATGTGACAAAATATATATCACAGCGTTCCAGGATAGGAGTCGAAACGCCCCTTGAGAGATACCTGTGGTCCGGGCTAATGACGTCGGTGGAAATCAAGCGATTGTATAAAGGAACTTATGAAACTCGTCACGAATTTTTCATAAATCTCATATGAAATGGATCCTTTATTTATACAACTGTTAGTGATATATTGTAAACGTTTCTTTCGTCATTTAACGGATTTTTGAACGTGAGACGTTGTTTTGAGAGATGTTTATTTATATGAACCAATTAACCTCTTCGTCTGTTTCAAATGGGATATTTCAGGGATAATGCCGGACGGAACTGCAACTATTTATGCAAACATTGAAAGTCTATGCAAAGCTCACCAGAAAGCAACATCGAATCACTGAGTCTGTCCATATTTAATAAACTGCCAACCCTGGTCCAACCGATCTGACCATTTGGGTATATTGCCCCCCCCCCCCCCCTCCCCCGTTTTTGTTTTGTTTTCGAACCTTCGTAATGATCTCAATAATGACTGTATCACTGTATCATACAATGACATTTACAACAAAAGTAGACGAAGAAGTCAATCATATTATTTTTCCATTTTATGTAAGAATAGTATACATGATATATTACTTGACAAGAGACATATATGTTATCAAAATATTGTTTGAATTTTAAGTTTTTGAGTTTGATAAGCTATTATTTCGAGAATATCAATTTCTTCGGCCAGCTAAATTAGGGAATAAATACCCTCTCGAATTTCCGCAAAAACGAAAAACTGGGGAAAGCAAAAGCATTTACAATAGCTATTTCTAATAAATTATATGATTTGAAATTAATAACTTTTATCATAATAAGCAGCGATGGAAATTTACATCAAAACCATTTGTTACTGTAATTAGAAGGCAATTATGCAGGTTTTTCGCCAAAACATAAATGCTTAAGAATTAATATCGACTATTAGCTGTGGGTTCCTTTTTACACTGCACCACAGGGACCTTAGAATTTGTTACAGTTATATTTGGACCTAAACTAATCAGAGTAATATTTCAATACTTTGAACACCTTAGTTTAGATCCGAATATATAGCTGTAACAATAAAAACTGCCATTTTGCTACAGACATCTGGTACATATATCACAGGGACTGAGGATTTAGAAATTTGATTGGGAAATAAATCAATTGTACACAGAGTATTGGACATCTACAGAACAAGAACATGCTACCACATTTCACACAAAGCACACTCACCCAGACGTTTTTACATATCCAACAGTATCATAATCACTAAACATCAATATAACAACACTTATACACACACTATACCTACACATATAAATACGTACATGTAGCTAGCATCTTCGATACTCCAGTGCTGGAATATGTCATGTTCTCAGGTAAAATAAACTTGATCACTCGCTAAGATGATTCATGTCCTTTGAAGATAACAGAAGAGCATGCAACGTCCGACTTTAAAGCCAGTCAATCTTTTGATGTACATTAAATGATCAAACTTGTTTTCTCGTTTCATCCTCAAGGTGGTGCACACTGAGCCTTCGATTTTGATATGACACATTCCAGAGATGCAGAGAGCAAAGATGAGCGTAACCTCTGGAGTTTTATTTGAAAATAAAATACGTCATCAAAGTTTATCACTGGATAGAGATGTAACCCTGATGACTGGTAACCCTGGTGACTAGTAACCCTGGTGACTGGTAACCCTGTTGACTGGTCACCCTGGTGACTAGTAACCCTGGTGACTGGTAACCCTGATGACTGGTAACCTTGGTGACTGGTAACCTTGGTGACTAGTAACCCTGGTGACTGGTAACCCTGATGATATTGACTAGTAACCCTGGTGACTGGTAACCTTGGTGACTAGTAACCCTGGTGACTATAGTAACCATGGTGACTGGTAACCCTGGAATAGAAGAGAGGACTTTGACTTTAAACATATTTTATTGTCCAAATATTGGCACAAAAGGATCAGGCACAAGTTATTTCAACTTATGAAGCCGTCTCCTATTAACATAACAAATTTACAGACAAATGATGGCACAAATAATTATAAATTCAATTTTTAAAACAAGTCAATTTTTCACGGGAATAAACATATATAAGCATAAAGTTCAAAATCTTCCGCTGGATTTAATGAATTTTTGCACATGATCAAATAAGTAATAATTTTCCTCCAAAGCCAACAACTCATTTCCAAATAATAGTAGTTTTAAACTTATTTGTGTATTTAAATTACTTAAAACTTGAAACATGTCAGTACGAACAGTTGCATAACGTTGGCACTCAAAAAAGAAGTGATATGCGTTTTCACAATGATGTAAACAATTTGGACAGTGTGAGTCAGTAACTAAGTTTGCAAGGAATAGGTCATCTTTAAGAGAACTGCATTTATGTCTTAACCTGGTATGTATAATATTTAGTTTTCTTTCGCCATACTTATAATAGCAAGGTTGACTAGTAGGAATATTTTGGGATAGAGCGAATTTAAAGGAGGGAAGAGGTAGAGACTTTATACNTTGACAAATAGACTTCTGAATCCCCAAGTTCCTGTCAAAATATCACCAAAATAGGTTCGAATATGGCCAAGGTTCGCCAGGCAACACATGCTGGAAGTTGGTATTCTGGTGATGGTAAGTTTACGATGGTTAACGTATTGTAAGGACAGTGAGATATGCCTGGCTGAAAAAAAGAGACCTTTTTGCACGATTGTTATTATGAACAGCTGATCCATCTGGAGTCCGAAGGGAATCTCGTGAACAGAACACAACAAACAAATGCTTGTAATAGCTTTGTAGCTATACCTTTTTTCTGTATGAGTGGAAAGTCTGTCTTCTCAGTATATTTACGTATTTCTTTAACGAATGCAATTAAAATATAGATCTACTTGGTAATAAAACAAAATAACTGCATCCAGTCCACTAGCATGAGTCATGATCCTTTCATGAAGATGTAAATCTATAAATAGAAACACACATACTATATATTTATCTATATATCTTTTGTTAATACAACTTTGTAGAAATGGACACTATTGTAAATACTATTCATCTATGGTATAGAAAGGAAATTGAATGAGTAGTTTGATAGTTACATAATATGAATGAAAGAAAGATAAATGGTCACATTGTCCAGGTCAGCTGCAATTAGATGTGATCTTAAGTATATCATTATTGGTCCAGTTTATATATTTATTGAATCCAGTTTTGGTAATATTTGATCTCATAATTATGGGAATTGTTGTATGTATATACCAAAGTTTCTTGACACCATCAGTTTTTGGGTATACGTTTATAAACACTTTTACTTGTGTCTCTGAACAGTATTCAAGTAATGAGACAAAAGTAACTAAGTTTAACAGCATTCACATGGTTATGGGCTTGTATTGTTTTGGTTGCTATATTCTGCAGCACCATAAAATGCCTTAAAGTATGATATCCTTTCTTTGGATCTGCTGCTAACCTTACTGAGTGCCCAGATAGTGCATGGGATGTTTTCGCAATTTGTTAAAAGATTTTTTCTTCTGATACATTATGTACCCTTTCAACTAATTATAACACCATACAAAATTTCAAGTACAAAGTACAGAAATAAGTCTATCTAGTTATGCAATTCAAGGGAAGTAACTCATGAAAAAATCAGTAGAAATAATGTTATCAGGATCTGTGATGATTATGAGGACGCAATTCTTCTTAAGAGCTATTTATCATTCTCAATTGTCATGAATTTAATGTTCAATTCTTATATCGGTCATTAGGCAGATGGTAATTCAGGTTTGTTCTGTGTCTTTGAGGAGGGTGGATTTGTTTTTCTCGCACCTCAGACAGAGATATCCCACGTCATACCCCATGTTAGATTTTCTATCTCGTCCGATCTGTCTTGTACCTTTATGTACATTTCGTGGAATTCTAACACTGCAATGTATTCATCTGCGTCAACTGCTTGAAATTGACAATTTGCATTATATATGTTCTGTTTTGTCGTTCTATGTATTGTTTTAATGTTGTTAGATATTTGATGTTGTAGATAAGATATAATCTACACTGAAATACGTTGTCATCTATGTAAGGACAGACTACAGTTTTACTCGGAAGCGTTGAAATGTAGCTTAAGTAGTGAACAGGTCATTATCATTTAAGGCCCAAGGCAGGATACTTGTAGATTTTAGTAAAATTTACTAGTTTTTTTCAAATTAAAAGGTGCCAGATAAAAAACCAATTACCTGTAACTGAGCAAGATCGGATTATCTCGGGCTAAGATTCTGTAACATCCCAACCTCGGTTGGGATTTTGTTACATAATCTTAACCCTTAGAATATTAATTAACACATCAGCGCCGGCGGTATGTTCCCCAGGGAGTGGAGAAAGATATTGACTAGAGAAAGATATTGACTGGTTGCAAAAGGCCCTATAACCATGGATAATAATTTGTGAACCACTTTGAGACGACCTAGGTAAAGCAGTTTATAAGAACCTCAAACTATTATTATTATTGAATACCCAGTCTATGTTATAGCCTGAAAATATTTCAATATGTCAAAAATGCAGCTACGTGATAAAATATCTTGTAACTAATTTATCTGGTATCTTTTTATTTACAGGAGGAGAATTAAACTCTCAACTCACAAAGTGGCTGTCAAAGGCTCCTGTGTGCCAAGCTCCTGCCCGAGCCATCATAGCCCCGTAAGTACAATCAACACTGTCAAATTCATTAGAATAGTCTCTTTAACCTATAGAAGCCTCTTATCCTGTTTATGATAACTGTAACTGTAACTAGGTAATGTAAATGAAAGGCCATAATATTAAAAAGTCGAGCAGAGCTTTCATTTGACTCATAGTATTTCGCAATTTCAGAAGTCAATTAACTTTTTATAATTACCTAAACTTTGGAGAGTCAAAACACACGTCATATAGCTATGTAGACAGGTCCTTTGGAGAGTCAAAACACACGTCATATAGCTATGTAGACAGGTCCTTTCAAACTCAAGAGTCAAATTGTAGTCAATTTTGGAGAATCGGAAACAAAATTTCAAGGGTCTACTTTCTAGGGCCCTGAATATAGTCTGAATTTATATTTCATCAGTTAATATAACTCATTCACCCCTTAAGACACATTTGAACTCTTCCAATTCAAAGGTTGGAATAGTTCGTTATGAAATTTCAGGGGTGAATGAGTTAAAAAAAATATATGGTGACACGGGTACTGTTTAACTTGGGGTAAATCAACCTCAGGAAGTTTAATCACATATGAACTGGCTCAATGTTATTAAAATAAAGTTTAAATTAATTGTGTGTATTTACAGCCATGCTGGTTACTACTACTGTGGAGCGTGTGGTGCCCATGCCTACAAACAGATGGATCCATCCCGTGTGTAAGTAGATATATCGCTCACTGTTCATCTTTTTTTGATTGTACTACATATAGAGGTTATCAGTTTGTGAGAACTTGGTGTTCCAGTCATATTTGTGTTGTTATATACCTCTCAATAATAATCAGTCAAATGCATGCGTATATAGTAAAATGGTGATGCGTAGCGGCTCAAAATTCATGCGTAATGACGCTGAAACAGCATGGGGATCCGGAGAACACTGGGATATTTCGGCAGGGATGAAATTTTTGTGATTTCGCAGGTCAACAACATCATCACGCAAAATATGGTCCACAGATTAATATGACAAGGGTTAAAATGAGCCACGATAATAAACTTCATAACAATAATGTCGTCATGAAATAGCGCGCATGTGATTGTGATGATTCATATTATTAAGAGTAATTATGTTTGAAGATAGGTTGTATCACACGTCTCATAGTTTATTGATGTTTTATTGAAAAATAGATTTTCTTGTTGTCGGTAAATATGCTGCAATAAAGCGTGTTTATTTGTTTATTTGACACTTAATATGCCGAGGGCCCAGTCTCTGTACTAAGACACTGCAAAAATTGAGTTCCTTCACATGTCTAGATAGCGAAATTATAATCCAGGTAAATTAAATTTTCTAAGTTTGAGTGAAAATTGTGAAAATTTAAGCCTGCATAAATAACCCATTATATGATATTATAAATATGTGTTGCTATTCATCAGAATGAAGAGTTGCAGAGGAATATTTTCGCTATATTCGCACTTTGACTAATATTCACAAATTCTAAACACCAGCAAAAATTATCGAAAATTTAAACCACTTTTACTGACCTTATCACAACATGGTGAAAATATTTATAACCCAACGCTGTTATGCAAGCTTAAATGAACTCAAATCAGATTATCACCGGACAACTGGACAGGACAGTCCCTGTAAAAAACAACACGTGCATATAAATGGCCACATTATATTTATGTGTGCACAGTAACTGATTACAGTTAATTACTCCTACAAAGGTACATACTCATAAACATTTGATTTTCTTTCGAGTGAAGTCACTGGCGGATGATGACGCCCGGGATCAGTGTTTTCAAACGGTTTATCTGTATTTCACAGGTTTTAAAAATTTAACCCCCACGAATATGCACTGAATACGAAATCGCAAAATATTGACCCTGCATATTTATAGCGCTATACAGTACCTGTATATCTTTTGCTATACTCAGAAATAGTCCTGTTAGGATTTACAATTAGTGTGAACACGCTGTAAGTAGCTATCGTAAAACTAAGATTTCAGTTAAACAACTTTGAATATTCCAACTAATTAATGTATAATTCCTTTGATTATGGCAACTTAAACTCTGTTGATTAACCTGTGTATATTTGTCTCTGTATATATACAGGTAAAACCTATTTCACCTTGATGTTAAAGTAGAGTCATCTTGTATCTATGCATAGAAACCTGATGGCCCTGATACAGCTTGTGAGATTTTGTCCAATTTGATGTAAAATTTGATGAAAAATTCAGCAGCATTGACCGTTGATATATAAAGTTACATGTTTGTTCTGCTTTTTGATCTCCCAGGCGTCGTGTGTTTATTCTCGGGCCGTCCCATCATGTGCGTCTGTCTGGATGTGCGCTGACAGCCACAGAGATTTATTCAACCCCTCTGTACGACCTCACAGTGGACCAGCAAAGTATGTTGTGCTTATTAATTGTACGTCATGAGTTTTTTGTTGCATTTGCGAAAAGAAAAAAACATCAGTAGAATATTTTATTTATGTAGAAATATCAACAAATAGAAATGATTTCAGCATTTACTGTACACATGCTGTAATTAATCAATTCATTTATGAACTGTGCTTCCATTCAGCATGATTCAAAGTGCTATCTGTTTAGTAGTCATTTACAGACCTCATTTGAAATATATCCGTGTGCTTTTTTAGTCAATCCTTGGCTATTTGAAAAAGACCATCCAGCATTATTTTTTAATGCCATTATAGAAGAACAATGTAGAGAAAAGATCTGATAAAGGAGTATTCTAAATAAAGAGACCTAATAATTGTGTAAACTCATTTTCCATCACCCTTGAATTAATGATGACTTCAGCCTTCTACGAACATGTTTATATACAATGTAGTTATAGCAGTGCTGCTTTAAGGCTTGTACCATTGCCAAAAACTGAAACTTTGTATTTGAAACATTTTTTTTTCTGGCACGACTATAGCTTTGATAAATAACTTCTCGAAGAAACTTATAGTTTGTGGGACTTTTATGAAAAGGTGATGAAATTAACAAAATATTGTTGAAAACTTTCACCCATGAAATTTCATAATGAAGTATTCCAACCTTTGATTTGGAAGAGTTCAATAGTGTCTTCAGGGGTGAATGAGTTAACATTGATCTAAGTGTAAAAAAAAGATGTGGGGCTAGACCTGGATTAGAACACGGAATATCAGACTGCTAAACTATCGCTCTAACGTACCTAATCAAGCTTTTTGATCGATGGAAGTGTGCTTGATTGACGGAAGTGTCCTTGCCCAATTGTTCTATAATTGTATCTGAAAAAAGTTAGGGGAATGTAATTGCATATAGGAAAAACCACAACGCAGCAAGACATGGATCCTAAATGTATGTGGAAAAATCTATCACTGAGCACGTTTTAACCCTTTCACCACTGTGGACCATAATGGACTCACCCAGATCAATGTATGGTAGATTCTACTAAAGTCACATAGGGGTGAAAGGGTTAAAGCCAGAAACCAAAACAACTACGGTTTACGTTGTCATTGTTTCCATATTTGTATCTTTCAGTTAACCAAGAACTCAACGCAACTGGGAAATTTGAAACCATGAAGATTTCTACAGATGAGGATGAACACAGTATAGAAATGCATTTACCTTACATAGCCAAAGTTATGGAAGCGTAAGTACTGAAAAGCACCTATTGAGATTTACAAAATGTTTAAAGTCATTGAAACTAAACCGTTTTTAGCCCGCTCATCTGGAGAATAACCCCAGGAGGGGGGTTCTCATGTTGTCACCTTGGCGTTTTTAATGTCATCTTTTTGTTCCTACTGCTGTCAGAATTGATGGTCTGGGATGTTTTTTATATGAGAAGTTGATGTGTTTGTGTGTTTGTGTTATTACATTTCAAAACAGCTAAGTTTAGGATGTAATGATTTCATTTTCATTGATCTTTAAGCAAATCATGTACAGTAGTAGCCTTAGTTTTCTCTGGCCCTGTCACCAGACTTAGATATTTTGACATATAGATGTCTGGTGTGGGGCCAGAGCGCACTGCTATATGAAAACGTGGAATTCTCCGACACCGCTTGGTATCCAGGAGTGACTAATCAACAAAAAGATGAGGTCTGGAAATCTGCTAAACAAGAATTACATATCCTGTTTTCTGGATCAGTATGGTTTGTTGATTAGTCACTCCATGACCTACAAAAATGATGTTCGCTCAGGTGGGAAATTTAAAACGATTGAAAATCGAGGACTCTAGTGATGGAATTTCGGCAGCTTTTTCGTGATAGTAAGAGCTGATTTGGATCAATAAATAATTCATTTAACGATATATGTGAGGTATGTGTTGTGTGTCATAGTAGATTTTTGTTGTCAGCACCTCATAACTCTCTGATACCAAACGATGTCGGACAATTCCACGTTTTCATATAGCAGTGCGCTCTGGCTCCACACCTAACATCTATGTCAAAATGTCTAAGTCTGGTGTCAGGGCCAGAGAAAACTCAGGCTAGTACAACAGCATTACCGGTATATTTGTAGAAAGTAGCAGGGAGTTTTAAACAGGGTTTGAAATACAGTAAAACCTTGTTATACTACCACCATTTGTCCAGGGAAGTTTTGGCATTATGAAGGATGTGGCAATAGATTGAAGGAAGTGTATAAAGAAATTATTAAGAATAAAAGAGAAACAGAAATATGATGGCGGTAAACGAGGTGGCAAATGAAACGAGGGGCATTATATTGAGGTTTTACTTTAATATAATTTTCTGCAAAAAAGGTGATATTTGAAACGATCAGCAGTCATGTTTTGTAAAATAGCTGAAAGGTTTGATTAGTGTCATTTGCCAATTAAAATGACTTTTGTTAATACTTTTAATGTATTTTTATATGCCCGTCAAATTTCACGGAAGTATTATGCATGGTATGGGGTTGTCTGGCCGGCTGGCGTAAACTTTCGTTTGTCTGGCAAACTTCTCCTACATTTTTCGACCAATCTCTTTGAAACTTGGTATACATTATAATCATGATATGAAGTTGTGTCTCCCTTAAAAGAATTTTGATTCAACAGTTTTTCCAAAAGTTATTGCCCTTTGTTTATTTCAGTCTTTGATTTTTGTCTGGCAATCTCCTCCTAAATTTTTCAACGGATCTCTTTGAAACTTGGTATACATTATAATCATGATATGAAGATTGTCTCCCTTAAAAGAATTTTGATAGGACGATTTTTGCAAAAGTTATTGCCCTTTGTTCATTTCAGTATTTGTCCGGAGATTTTCTCCTACATTTCTTATATAGCATGTTAGAATGATGCAGATCTTATTTCCATTTAAGAAAGTAAATAACTCTATATGGCATTCGACGGGCGTATATTGTTGCGCCCCACGGTACGTATACTCTTATTTCATTTGAAGCGTGACAGATATTGTAAATTGGTATTTTCAGCCGACAAGGACAGTTCACTATCATTCCGGTTCTGGTTGGATCTCTGACGACAGAGAAAGAACAGGAATATGGGGCCCTGTTCAGCAGATATCTGGCAGATCCAACCAATTTCTTTGTGATATCTTCAGACTTTTGTCATTGGGGTAAATAATTGTGATATATATACAATATTTTGTTTTTGAATTTCAGTAACAAACACTTAACATAAATTAGCAGTAACTTAAATGAAATGTATGTGTGTTGATTGATAATTGTGACATTACACATGTGACATACAAAACATCAGAATATTGCTGCCGTAAGTAATTTTAGCTTTACAAAAATCCACAATGTTCATTTACATGTACATTGAAAGTAACTGTAAATTTTCTATAGACAATAAAATACAGAAAAAAAGAAATTCCTTTGCCATGTCAGTTTTCCATAGACCCATTCTGTAGTCCAGTACATGGATATGTATGACTCTGGTTGATGAAAATAAAGTGACAAAAAAGAAAATATGATTAATTTTTGAAAAGCACTTCTCTGTATGAAGTTGTATGACACTTTCAATATACAAATGTTTTTCAAAAAAATAATGTTATTTTTGTCAATAACAATGGCAATTGCTAGCAAAACCGTTCAATACTTTACTATGTTTGCAAATTGTTTAGTTAATATTTTTTTAGGTTGAATTGCATATGATGTACTTTTGCAGGTCAGAGGTTCCATTTTGTTTCGTACGACCAGCAACACGGGGAAATTTGGGAATCCATCAAGGCTTTAGATAGCATGGTAAGAACCTTTTGTAAGGTATACAGCTAGTAGCTTGATTGAGACATGATGGCGCTGAAGAATATTTTTGACAAGATTCTTCTTTGGAGCATTTATAATTAGCTTCCTTTGTTTCATAATGCACAAAAGCCCAGTAGTTTAGGCTGTGACCATCTTAGATCACGAGTTGTCCATCACTGGGTCGCGGGTTCGAGGCCTGCATGGGGCAGTCACAACCTACAGGCTGTAGGTAGGTTAATGTTTTCTCCAGGCAATAAGGTTTTCCTCCACCACCTAAACCTGGCACGTCCTTAATGACAATAGCTAGCGCTGTTAACAAGATGTAAAGCACAAACTAACTTAACCATCTAAATGCAATATTTAGGTCAAATTAATTGTGAATTTTGTTTCATACCCCGATACTTATATTTTAAAGCCTTGATGAGTCGCCATCTATAGTTTAAAAAATGGTAAGTCTTTGTCAGAAGACCTGTTTTGGTTATACCAGAAATAACCAGATGACGTCATGGTCGAGGCTTTTATGCCCTAGCAACCCATATAGCTAATGTTATTTTCTTCCCTGTGGCTGTTTCATTCTGTACTGGAATGACTGCTCTTGTGTGCAAGGCAGTTACAGAGGAAGCTGAGATGAATATTAATAACAATGTCAAACTCATTTCAATTACCAAAACAAGTCTACAGTATCACATTATTATGGATCATGATAAGTGCTGACATTACACATGTAGAACACACAGTCACTCTACTTCCGCTTTACATTAGAAATACATTATAGATTGTAACAGTAGATTATGTAAGAAATTGTTTACACTTATTAAACTTTAGAAGACACCACCACCGCCTTCCTGTCCCACCCATATGTCTGAATTAGCTCGTAGTCAAAATAGCATACAACTGAAGCAGAACATACTGTTCCATGAAATGGAATTTGTTTTCTTCAAAATTACTAAATACACAACTTACTTGTAAGTATTGCTTTGCAAGTCAGTACTGAAATTGTGTTTTTTTCAGAACTGTCTTTGTAATTACAGGGTATGGAGGTAATAGAAAAGATGGATGCTGAAAAGTTCACAGACTATCTCAAGAAATACCAGAATACTATATGTGGGCGCTTCCCCATAGGTGTACTACTAAATGTAAGTTGCAAGGTCCAATCATTTTCTGATTAAGAATCCCTGTACCATTGCCAAAAAATGAAACAAACGCATTTGAAACTTATTTTTCCGACTTTGATAATTCATTTTTGAAAAGAAAAGTATACATTGTGGGATTTTAATAAAGACGTAATGGAGATAAAATAAACAAAATAGAATCAACAATCGTGTTCCAAGTATAAAATATTCTGCAGAGCCAGACCAGAATTTGACACTGCACTGCAGATTATTATATGTACCATTGCTGAAACCTTGAATTAAGGTACCTGGGCAATGGCAGTGTGCAATCCCAAATCTGCTACAGTTATATCCAAATGAAAGTTAAAGGGAGGTTACTGTATATACAGTGGGACTGGGATCCTTAAGGGAAGATTGAATTTCCTGTGGCCTACATCTGCAATTATTGATTATACCTAATGTTGTAATTTGGTTTTTTAATCTGTATTATATTTTTTTTCATTCCAGGCTATGAATGCTATTCAAAGGAATGGAAATGGATTTAAAATGTCTTTCAAGTTTGTCAAGTACGAGCAGTCGAGCAAGTGTAAAACCATGCGCGATTCGTCCGTTAGTTACGCCTCTGGTGCTCTGGTTATACAGGATTCAAATCATCATTAATGTATGATTAGGAGGATGTAGCTGGATCTTAGGAGCATTTGCGATGTACTATGTACGACCTGTTGTGAGGATAATAGTGATGACTTATATATATATATATAAATCAAGTTCATAGCTAGATAATTATAAATGTGTAGTTGTGCTAATTTTTGCAAGGCATTTATTTGTGTGATTTTTCAAACACATAACAGCTCTGAAATACATGTAATAAAGGACCTATCTGATAGTTTTGCATTTATGGGGAAATTAAACAATTTTCCAATATTAGAGACAAGGTTTATTGCTGATGTCCAATTGTCATAGTTCCCAATCTTAAAAGTATCAAATAGATATACTAAAAATTACTCATTCACTTCTGAAATTGTATCATGAACTTTTCCAACCTTTGCATTTGAAGAGTTCAAATGTGTCTTGGGGGGNGAGTTAATTGTCTAGGCTTTCACCCCTTATGCATCTAATGGGTGTACTTATTGACAAGACCAGTATAAAAATTGCAAAAAAGAATTAAATTGATTGAATAACAACGAAACACAATCTAAATTTAAAGTCTGTTTAACAAGCTGTACCTAACTCCTATGTTACCTTTTTGGTGGTTCACAAAATTAAACCCTTGCAATTATATGCCAGGTACAAATTTGTAAATATTGATATCCGCAAAAATGAGCAGATATACAGCAGATATACAGATATACAGCAGATATACAGCAGATAGCATGATGACTTATACATTAGAAAAGCTGTTTATTGATAAGGTCAAGTTGTTTTCTGTCCTGTATCTTTAATTCTGAGATATACATTTTCAGAATTTTGACAACTGAACTTAATTATTAGCTGGTGTGAGAACTGACACTGAAAGAATGCTTATTAAAGTTCGCCACTTGAGAATAACAGGAGTGAACCTTGATACTTGTGATAACTATATATGAATTGTCCAGTTACTAAGGCTTAAACCTCTTGTGATTGACTCTTACTCTGTTTGCACAATTATTTAAATGGTATTCGGTGTGGATGGAAACTACTGCAAGGTTATGGCTGATGATGAATATATCCACCAGATGTCAAGCTTCTGAAGCAAAGATACTTGTGATAGCTGACTAGTGTGAACAGATGCTGGGGACCGACTTTCAGGTGGACCGACGCTGCATTACCAAGTCTTGTGATAAACAATGATGACCTACAATGAAGGACATCTGCGACCACCAATACTACGAAGTGATGTGTAGATATCGTGCTTTTCTTGAACTACTCAATAAGCAAAGTTTAAACGATCAGATTGTGATGGATCTAAATTCAACCATATTGACGATGTGATAGTATCATACCTTCATACTTAAGACCCTTTATACCTGTTAAAAAGAGATTCACGAATAGTTTTTAGTTGAAAAAGCAAGGTTTTTAATAATTTTGAGACAATCTTAATTGGCTTATGCTGTATGTTAGAGTTGCTAATGGTCGTTGGTAAAAAGTTCATGAAGAAGCGTCCAGATATATGTGTGAACGAAACAAAAACAGGCGTAATTTTGAAATCATGATATAAATGAAATTTGCTGAAAAGTAAACATCTTTCATAGAAACAAGGCCTATGAATATGTAGGAGAAGATATATTGGACCCCATTATCAATTTTTTAAAATTTTCCCCCCTCACTGCTTTCCTCATATTCGTGTAATGATTTTCGACACAACCACCAGTATATTGTGAATGAAAATGCCATCCAATACATTATGTCTTGATAAGCTCAACGACAAATATTGAAGTAGATACACTTGACTGCCGAAAATGACCAACAACGCAGTGTTTTGTTGTCACAGACATCTATACTGTGAAATCAGATTTTTTTGTGGAGCCTAAATTTGGTGGTTTCCAACAAAACTACAATTTCGTTGGGACATAAATTTGTTGATTACGAGTACCAACTCACATGGAGAATCGGTTTGAGTCAAATTTATAATGAGTTTATGGGCCTATGTATTCCTGGATGAAGATGAAATCAACAAAATTAAAAACCTCACGAAAATTAGTGATTTTACAGTAGAGTATATGCATGTTACAAAGAGACTCTATCATTCTTTATGTTCTATATTTAATATAGCTACTACAGACTTTTGTGATCTGTGATTCATTAATGACGTTTGTTGTTATGGTGAGATGTATTGTTCAAGCTTTTTGTGAGAAACCTAATGTGATCCTAAAAAATTATATATATATATATATTGAAAATGTAAGATGCTTCTCTCATTCCTGTGCATGTATGACAACTATCCCGGGTAAGAAACGAGTGTAAGAAATGTCTTTCACTGAATGTAATGTGCGTGACATCACAATTTGACAATCACACGATGAAGTGAAATCAGGAACGTTCTGATGTCGCGATATGGAAGTTACAACGCGTATCTGTGGTTTCTGTGATTGGAATGTTAGAGAAAAATACTCTTTAGTGCCCAGGAGTGTAGGATAGGGAAATTCCACCCTGACGAACCTAAAATTGGTGCAAAAACCTTTTGTAAGCCTTCGCCGCCCCCCCCCCATCACTGTGATTATAAAATTGTGAAATTTTTTCTGAAAGATTTCACAAAAAGAAACATACTTATTCTTACTTGCATTCGCATAAACATTTAAAAAAAATACAAGAAACAACTATCACAGTTCATCAAATAGAAAGATATGTACTGATTTTTTTTCTACCTTTTTTCTGTTTTAACCGATGTAAGAAACAGCATAAAAACCTGATGGTATGATTCAGACTAGTTACATGGCTTGGATAAAGGACTTCTTTTGTTAAATAAACTGTTATAATTATAGACATCTGCTTATGCAATGCCATTTTTTAATATAAGAAAATTGCAAAAATTGGCTGCTGAAAGCTTTTGATTACTTAATTAAATGATAATTTTAGCCAGTTACTTGTGAAAACTTAATGAACTTTAGTAGTTCCTTTTGATATTTTGGCAGTCTGCCTCAGGAACATCCATATTTGTGATTCTTTTTTCGGTATGGTATAAATATATGTGTGTATTTTGCCAAGTATGATATTACATACATGATCTACCACAATTTAGTTCAGATGAATAATGCTAATAATGTCTTTTCTAAAGTGAAGTTAAGTTAGTCACTGTGACCTATATTTTGATCTTTGACCTAAATTAAAATTACAAAATATGTGAGATACAGCTTATCCAAAGCCTTCCCCCACATACTTTGACACGCTACATATGTATCATCAAACTTGATATGCTGAATTCCTTAGGAAAACAGTGTCACCTAGGTCGGTTATGATCTTAACGTCCTGCATTTCCTTGTTAATGGAGTCAATATTTAAGCGATGGGAGATGTTCGAAACATGTTGCAATCTTGGTACCTTTGTTTTTTTGACAGTTAACAGATTGCTGAAAATGGCAGACATAAACAGACATATTTTCGTGCACCAGTACAAAGTTATATAATTACTCTTAACAAAAATTAGCGCTATAGCTTGTGTATAACGTATAGGAATACAGCGATTTTATCATAATTTAGCGTTTTTCTAATTAGCGAAAGAAGCATTAAAATATTGTAACAGCAAAAGTACAGGAAATTTAACAATAACTCAGAGCAGCTTTGCAAGTACGTAATATTAGTGAAACGTTGTTCTTAGTTTATTATACTAAAGTAGATCAATGTTTATAATAAAGTATATCATTGTTTATACCAAAGTATATCATTGTTTATACTAAAGTATATCATTGTTTATACTAAAGTAGATCATTGTTAATACTAAAGTATATCATTGTTTATACCAAAGTATATCATTGTTTATACTAAAGTATATCATTGTTTATACTAAAGTATATCATTGTTTATACAAAAGTCTATCATTGTTTATACTAAAGTAGATCATTGATTATACTAAAGTATATCATTGTTTATACCAAAGTATTTCATTGTTTATAATAAAGTATATCATTGTTTATACCGAAGTATATCATTGTTTATCCTAAAGTATATCATTGTTTATACTATAGTATAAACAATTATATTCTTTATTATAAACAATGATCTACTTTAGTATAAACAATGATCTACTTTAGTATAAACAATGATGTACTTTAGTATAAACAATGATCTACTTTAGTATAAACAATGATATACTAAAGTAGATCATTGTTTATAATAAAGTATATCATTGTTTATACTAAAGTAGATCATTGTTTATAATAAAGTATATCATTGTTTATACTAAAGTATATCATTGTTTAAAATTAAACTAAATACATTTCAAGAGGTTTTAGGTCGACTGTAACTGGTACAATGTAGATGTAGATAATTGACATCATTGTTATGGTTTGTGTTTGCGCGTGTGTGTGTAAGAGTCCGCTTACCACTCTTATAGCACAGCCTGTGTGAAAGACAATACTTTCCTCACTATGGACTCAATGCTGTGTACTTTTGTAAAATCTCATTTTGACGTATTGTTTACGTTTTTAATTGACGCATTTAATGCACGTTACTATGCCATCCCATGTGACATTTGATTCATAGATAGTTTATCTTACGATTTAATATGTTGTCTAAAATTTGAATGATATATTTAGTCTGAACAACTTTTGTTTTTAAAACAACGCTTGCATTTTCTCTAAATGCTTATTACATGCGTTATTGTATGCCATATTTGGTAAATGAATCGATTGAGACATGCATATGTCATATCTATTTTAATGAGGGAGTGTTTGATGCCATCCATGAGTATTTCGCCTAATGTTCGGTAAATGAGTTCAATAATTTGACAAATACTACACTCTGATGATTGAATAACTTATTTTTTTTATTTTTTTTCGTGAGTGAGAGGTGATGTAATTGTTCCCTAATCACATAAATCATGCTATTGGAGAAAGCCTACAAAATACATTTCTGAAGAAGATCAGGATTACAGTTGTTCTATGCAATTGACTCTTGCTCAAAGTTTGTATGTTCTATGAAAATTCTTCTATAATAAGTATTCCTCTGAACAATTTGTAGAAGTATAAATAATACCAAACTAATTTCTCTTTTCCTTGGTATTCAACGTTTGCTTTCGATTGATTAAAATGGTGATCTTCCTAGCGACGATTCAATATTTGGATGATAATTAATTTTTCATTATCCAGAAAAATTTTCAGCTTGGAAATCAATGAGTTTTATTCATAGTATGAATTAATCTTATTAACTATACGTGTAGCGGTGTGATAACAATATGTGATTTTAACATCTGTTTAAACACCGTACTCCTTCCTCATATATAGACGCTATATGTGTTACTTCCTCAACTTGAACTAAAATACCACTTCCTGATCATTTAGAAATGCAATATTACTTCCTCATCTGAGAACATTATACTACTTGCATCTTATCAGTTAAGATTATTTTGGATTGGACGTTTTCTCTTGTGGATAATTTGTTTACTCTTATAGCCTTTTTGCGCTTAATTAGGTAAAAGCAAAATAAGTGAAAATATTCGTATTTTAAATGTGTCAATTTAGTGTCCGAATTGGATTCACATTCATTTCACTTTGTGATTAGTGGTAAGCTTTTCAGAAATTCGTTAGGTCATCTGCAAACATTACGTATAGTTGCATGTCCAAGTATTACATCCGTTCATTTTAAATATTGAATGTGATTTTATTGTCACCATGTTCTTGGTAACAACATGTTGTCAAGCTATCGGTCTCTCGGTCGTCTGGAAAGAATCTCTTAACGCCATAAAAGGAATGGTCTGTGTTGGTGTTATAAAGGTGATATAGCTATACGACTGCAGTTTAAAGAATACACATCATTCCCGTATAAGGACTCGCATGACGTTATAAGTTTTCCTTCAGGTACAGCCATTCCTCTGTCATCCTCACTTTCTGGCTCGGATATTCATTGAACTGCAGAGTAGAATAGAAATGTTCTTCCGATTTCTTAGCCAACTACATCAACTTACCATGTGCACTTTTCCATTTAACTTAGAGTAGTTTGTTATTTTTTGCATTATCTGTAGCTAGTTTGTTATTTTTTTTCTGCATTATCTGTAGTTACCATCCTCAGCCTTAGTTTTTTTTCTCTCCTAGTTAATTTTTCACTATGCTAGAGACTTTGTATGGTATGGTATTGTATACATGTATTGTAATGATATTATTAGATACTTCAAATATTTGACTTCCCACGTGATTTACGTATTTACAGTGTACGTAACTTTATGTCGAGAATTGATCACGACGGAGAGACTTACTATAGTATTTAGTCAGTTAGATAAACACTAGATGTCCCCGCCAATAACTTGTATGAGCAAAATAGGGAAAATAGAGTGTTCAATAGATGTCGGACAGTAATTGATCTATACACAATGATGTAAACTCTTGCTAAACGGCTGGTTGGTGAAGTATCCTGCTTCATACTATGAATTTGAACATTTCTCCGCCCAAGCTAAATGTACGTGTTTGTATGCCGTTTGCTACGTCGTGGAAAAGTGAATATATTGCTTAAATGTAGTTTGACAACAGGAAGTGACGTATGATCTTTAAACCATTGTTTGGTGTCAGCAAGAAGTGACGTTAATATTCTTATCGCACTGATTTGGCGATAAGAATAAGTGACGTAGATTATATACAGCTGTTTCACAACAGAAAATGACGTAAATGATTAGTACACAGTTTCTAAGCGGCAACGGGAAATGACGTAACTGTTTATTGTATATATTTAGCAATTGGATATTGAATGGTTTACATTGGGATTGATGATTGACTGATTACCTTAATAAAATCAATGGTGATAAATGAGAAACAGGTAGTATACTTCTGAAAAAACCAAATTCGGTAATATTAAATTTGATCTGTTGGAAAATCTTAATAGCAAAACGAATCCGAAATACGTTTTTGTAAAGAATATTTGAAACTGAAAGTAATTTGAACTCCTGTCATTTGGCATAGGTATATATGTGTTGATATGAGGAATGTATACTAGTAGATAAGCTGCATGTGTAGACGAATTCACCGTCTGTTGTGTTCATCGGAAATATGTTATCATAATAGGACTGTGTATCTGCATTTCCACGTTTCGTGTTAAATTTTTTCTTTCCAATAAAATATTGTTAAAATAAAATAGAGTGTTATCGTTTTGTTAGCTCACCTGGTCCGAAGGACCAGGTGAGCTGTCCTGAACGGCCAAGTATATTTTCACAAAATTTGATCTGGAGCATCCTTAGGCCAAGGGGACTCAATTTTGTTTAAATGGTGTGTGTGGCCCCCTTGGGGGCAGATGGGCGGGTCCCAATAGGGGAAATGTAGAGGTAAAACCTTTAAATCCTTCTTCTACCGTAGGGATTAAGGGACTTTATCCTAATTTAGTCTGGAGAAACCTTTGGCCAAGGGGACTCAATTTTGTATAAACCGTGGGTCTGCCCCCCCCCCCCCCCAGGGGCCTGAGGGGCGGGGCCCAATAGGGGAAACATAGCAAATTATTCTTTAAAATCCTTCTTCTGTAAGAATGAAAGGATTTGTTCCATATTTGATCTGAAGCATCATTGGGTAAAGGGGAACCAATTTTTTTATAAACGGAGGGTCTGGCCCCCCGGGGGCCTGAGGGGCGGGGGCCAATAGGGGAAACATAGCAGATTATTCTTTAAAATCCTTCTTCTGGAGGTATGAAAGGATTTGGTCCATATTTGGTGTGGAGCATCCTTGGGTAAAGGGAAACCAATTTTGTATAAAAGGTGGGTGTGGCCCTCTCTGGGACCTGAGGGGCGGGGCCCAATAGGGGAAATAGAGGTAAAACCTTTATAATCCTTCTACCATAGGGATTAAGGGGTTTTATCCTAATTTAGTCTGGAGCATCCTTGGGCAAAAGGGACTCAATTTCGTATAAACAGCGAGTGTGGCCCCCCTGGGGGAAGAAGGGTGTGACCCAATAAGGGAAACATGGCAAATTTTTCAAATACCCTTTTCTGTAAAAATGACAGGATTTTGTCCAAATTTGGTATGAAGCATCCTTCGGTGAAGGGGAACCAATTTTGTATAAACGGTGTGTCTAACCCCCTGGAGGCAGAGAGGCGGGGCCCTATAGGGGAAATAGAGGTAAAAACTTTAAAATTCTTCTTCGACCATAGGGATTTAGGGATTTTATCCTTATTCAGTCTAGGGACATAGGGGTGGGACTCTGTTTGAAGTTTGTTCTCGTTATATCTCAAGTTCTGGATGGATCTTTCTGAAATTTCATATGTACTTACAGCACCTGCCATGGAGTGCTATATCTTTACTTTATACCGTTTATTTTAAACATATTCAGGTGAGCGATACAGGCCCTCTGTGCCTCTTGTTTTATCTGTGGTGAAGTAACTATTCTTGATGCTTTTCCCGACATTATTTTACTGATTATATATATACGACGCTCTGGTTTGTTTTCGTGTGTTAAAGAAGTTCCGAACTTTTCATAAACATCATATTAATAATAAGATTTCAATTATACGTCCCAGAGTAAGAAAAAACACCAGGGCCGGTATTGGTCAAACTGCTTTCGTGCTCAGTCTGATTCTGTGTTCAAGCAAACCTTCTCGTTTCTGTGATCAATTTAAAAAAAAAGAAGACATTTCGTTATTGATTTGGAAGGATTTTTTGAGAGACTAAAAATGTACATGTCTCAATGTTCAAACTATTTCGACCATGTCACATGATGCGAGCGAGTTACAAGTTCGTTTGAATATAGAAGCCATGCTGTAGCATGGAAACGGTTTTAGGAATGAAGGCCCAGATTTGAACATCTTTTCCTGTAACGCCACTTGTTGAATTACTTATCGGTTACGTATGCATCGTAATGTATTATTTGAATACACAACGAGTTTCTGATTCCAAAAATCGCCATGTGGCTTCTTCAATAATATATTTGGCCCTGGTCGAGCTAAAAAAGCATCAAGAAGGGACAGCAGAACAACAGCTGTATGATGCAGTGTAATTAATTTTGGCATGCTGTATCTATTATCATAGTTAAAGGTGCAATCACCTCTGTGTATGTGTGTGTGTGTGTGTGTGTGTGTGTGTGTGTGTGTGTGTNTGTCGTGTGTGTAGTGTATATGTGTTTGTGTGTGTGAGTCTGTGTGTATGTGTGAATGTGTGAGTGTGTGTGTGTGTGTGTAGTGGGTGTGGGTGCGTGTGTGTGTTGTGTGTGTGTGTGTGTAATGTGTGTGTGTGTGTGTAGTGTGTGTGTATAGTGTGTGTGTGTGTAGTGTGTGTGTGTGTGTGTAGTGTATATGGTTTGTGTGTGTGAGTCTGTGTGTATGTTTGTATGTGTATGTGTGAATGTGTGAGTGTGTGTGTGTGTAGTGGGTGTGTGTGTGTGTGTGTGTGTGTGTAGTGTGTGTAGTGTGTGTGTGTGTGTAATGTGTGTGTAATGTGTGTGTGTTGTGTGTGTGTGTAGTGTATGTGTGTATGTGTGCATGTGTATGTGTGAATGTGTGAGTGTATGTGTAGTGTGTGTGTATGTGTGTGTGTGTAGTGTGTGTTGTGTGTGTGTGTAATGTGTGTGTGTGTGTGTGGTGTGTGTGTGTGGTGTGTGTATGTGTATGTGTGTGAGTGAGTGTGTGTGTGTGTGTGTGTAGTGTGTGTATGTGTGTAGTGTTGTCTGTGTGTGTGTGTGTGTGTGTGTGTGTGTGTGTGTGTGTGTGTGTGTGTGTGTGTGNTGTGTGTGTAGTGTGTATGTGTGAGTGTGTATGTGTATGTGTGTATGTGTGAGTGTGTATGTGTGTGTGTGTGTGTGTGTGGTGTGTGTGTCACGTTCTTCTTTCTAGATACAAGGTGGTAGACTCTGTTTGTGGACTTTTAGTCCTCAATGTTTGCTGGGGTGATACGCACCTGTCCCCCTGTTTCAACAGTAGCCTAGGCGATTTGGATTTCCAACTTTTAGGCCCCCTAGCATCACTGATGAGTCCTAGAGGGCCGAACAATTGTATGATGCAGTGTTGTTCTTTTTGGCATACTCTATTAGTAAATTGTAAATATGCAATCATCTGTGTGTGTTTTGCGTTCATCTTTCTTGTAAATATGGGTCCTTGCAAATCTTTCCTTTGATCATATTTTGCCCAGTTTTATCTTTGTTGTATTCAACGGACGGTTTTGTTGACGCTTCGGAAATCACTTCTTGTCCTTCTTCTTTGTCTTTGATGTCACCTTTGTTCATATGTGAAGAGTCCAGTCCTGATGTGGTCACTTTGCCTTCCTTGTAATAATACAAATAATAATAATTCGAGGTTCTTATATACCGCTTTATCACAACCTAGTTCGTATGTCGTCTCAAAGCGGTTCACAAATTAGTATCCGTGGTTATAGGGCCTTTGCAACCAGCCAATACCTTTCTCAACTCCCTGGGGAGCATACAGCCGGAGCTGCCATTTCGGCGCTAACAGCTAGCATTCAACATTTCTAGCACTGCTCAACCACGTATTCATTTACAACTGAGTAGACTGGAACAAGTGGAGTAAAGTACGTGTATCTTGCTCAAAGATACAACACAGTGCCGTGCATTAACTCGAACTCGCAACCCTTAAGTCATAAGCCCGGCGTCCTACCACTAGACTACCGTGCCTCCGTAATAGAACACATTTGACCATGTTAACCTTTCAATAAATCATGCATCAGGTATTTCAGGCGTTAGGAAGATTTAATGGTGGAGTATTTGAAACAATGTTATCGGCCAACTCTTATCTATTTTACCGCCCTATAATGTAACAGGGATAGATACTCACAAATATGTCTCCCTTCTACTGATATGCTTGGTCCTTATTGTTAAAAGTGATGTTGACAGAAGATACTAACCAAGGGCGATATATCGGTGTATAGTGCGGGACGCAATCATATCTTGCAAGAATTTATTGCGGTCTAGACACGGTCGTCAGAATCTTAGTTGTCTTAAGATATTCTTAAACCCAAATTTTCTTTTGCCAAAAAAGTGTATTCATTGTGCTTACTTAAGGATTTATACTGTATAGCACGATCTTTATTTTGTTAACAAAGTGAGTAATTTTTTTTTGTATTGGCTGCTTAATGGTTCCTAAATCACACAGCCAAATTTGTAATATCAACACAATTGGATATGTGAAAATACCTCTTGTGGGATCACACCACGTCGCTTTTATTACCCGTCCCACGAAGTTGACGTGTGTGTTTGTATGTGAGTGTGAGTGTGTGTGTGTATGTGTGTGTGGGAGGTCGGGTAGGTTTGGTGGTATACAAACGGATTCCGTACGTCCCTCTGTCCAGTAGCGTTTATGAGCTATAATTCAACAACTGTTCACGATAATTTCGTGAAACGCTTATCCGTCCGGACCACCTTGTCAAATTCTCATCAGTAATACTTTTTCAAGGGTCTCCATTTTTGTCTTTTCTTCGTTCATATGTTGCCCTATAGTCTTATCGATTTTGAGTTCGAAATATGGTTTTGTTGACTTTTCGTTATTCTCTTGTTATTTTTTCTATGAATATTACTCTTGTGTTATAAAGAAATATCTCTTTTGGTATAACGTTGTTTTTTTTTACCATGGAAACAAATATGCAATAATAAAAACAACTAATGTTTATAGAGCATATCTCTAGAACCATTGAGAAGAATCTCAGTGAATTGGATATGCAAATATAAAATACAAAAAAAAAACCATATCATGAAGAAAAGATAATATTATAACGGATCGTTATAAGGTAAAGTGACTTCACATCGTACCTTGGTGTAGGTCTGCCGTTATAAAATATCACACTGCTAACTACATCCTTTTACTTACATTAAACTAGTCAGGTGATTCTATAGTCTATCTTTGTTTATTACTTAGCTTTCACCCATGTTTAAGAAAACTACAGAAAAAATAAAATTAAAAAAATAACACAATTGTCCACATATAATTACAGAATCGGATCACAGTGACAGTATACATTACAACAACAGGAGCTGAATTGGACCAAAATATCATCGAGATCCTCAAAAATTCGACTGAAGAAACCAGATACTCAAAATTAAGGTAAACGACTCATTTTTCACGGCTGTAAAGGATGTACCCTGTCTAATCTAAAAAGGTATATTATCAACGAAAAATATACTTATTTTTAGCTTTCAGCTGGTACAAAAATAGAGGTCGATTCAAACATTTCACAAATCTCTTGACAAACAATCACAAATAACTGTAAACAAATGAGGTTTAACAGAATCTAATTTGCTTATTATATCTATATAATGCTTTCATATAGTTATAATAGGGCAGTATGCTATATCATCTATATCTATTGTTGTTCAGATATTGTAAATATGCTGTACAGCTAGTATCCGATGTTGACAATAAGTAGAGTATGAAATATTTATCACTGTTATTATAATGATGATTTAGGATGATCACTGGCCAAGCGTCTCTCTTGAATAAATTATGACGTTTCATTCAATAGGAGTTCCATCAGGTATGCTACTGTTGACTAGGGGCCAAGTATGTTAGCCAGACCCACACATAGCTATGTAGTATTTGATACGGACATTTTGTTAATAAATGAAAATTACTTAACGAAGATTTTTCCAGGAATGCATTCCTCAAGCTTAAAGCAATTTCCTTAAGTTAAGACGTTGCATGAATTTCTGTAATGATTTCCTATGGAAAAACAGATTTGTCTGAATTTAAGAAACGTTTCGGGTCTGGCCGGATGTAAGGAATTGTATAGAAATATGCTTAATTGTTTACTGTAGTAGTTTATAATATATAAACAGAATTGTTACTGTAGATATTAATTATTAATGATAAACCTGCCTGATATGTACTCATATTATGTAAATCTTAGAAATACACCTGTTACGTTATGGTACAGGACAAGGAGTTTATATAAAAACAGGGAAAATATTCAAACATGAAGTCATCATCAGGGCCTCTCTATAGAATAATAGACGACGATTTTATATCTAAGCAAGCTTTAATTACGTTAGTTATTCATTATTCTTTAAGAGGTTTTAATCACTTTAATCAACACATGTGCCATTTCATTAAAAAAACACACTTTAATATCATATCTATATATATTGGCCATGAAAATTATCTTCATACTATTGTTATATCCCATGTACAGCAAGTCACTTGGAAAGGGTTTCACCTCAAAGTACATATACGTGGTTATAAGTTTCCTTTTGATTTGGTGTATACTAGAACATGGTTCCGTTCACTGCCTTTAAGTGACGCTTTTTAAAGTTGGGTATTTAAAAAAAAACACATTCTGTTGGTCTATATCTATATATATATATATATTACTATGTGTAATACAATATGCGTTTAAAAGCCATTAAGTTAACCAGACATCGACCCGTTAGGTACCGGTACTATTGGACACAGAGAGCTACATTCTGCCCCACACATCACCTGTTTGTTGTAGCAACGGAGGTAAACAATAAGGATCAAGACAAAGCTATAATTTATTTCGAAATCCTCCATGCTTTATTTTTCTATGCTGGCCTATATTTGAACAACATACTATGTACTGAGGTCATATGTCTCTCCACACACGTGTATATATATACGGTACTATCGTGACTTGCCGGGTACTTTACTGTAGACATTTATAGATCTAACAGGTAGAGTGTCGAGGGTACGTATACCCGGAATATACACAGGCGGCTTTTGTGTCAAATCAGGTAAGTCATAATTGGATTTTTTTGTTGGACTACATCAGAATTAGAGGTATATTGTTAAGGGAGGATATCGGTGATGATTAAAACCGGTGTTATAAGCATATTATTATACAAGTAATATCGAGAAGCGCCATACACATATTCACGCATAAAGTATATGTATGTATAGTAGGAACTTGACGTGTTATTATCATTAAATATACCGTGTATGTAATTATGTTAGGGTATGGTTGGGAATATTTTATGATCATGCAGTTATATGAGTGATCATAAGTAATATGTTAAAATACGATAGAAGTCATAATCGTCAAATGTATGTACGAACGAACATGTACGTATGCATGTATGTATGCATGTATGTATGTATGCATGTATGTATGTATGTATATGTATGTATGTATATGTATGTATGTATATGTATGTATGTATATGTATGTATGTATGCATGCATGTGTGTATATTTAAAGACATGATAGGGTTATTATTATCAAAGCGTGGTCTTTATGTCACGATGTAATTTCTGTGATAGAAACTATACTTTATAATCATAATTGTAACATCAACGGTACATCTGTCTTCAGTAAGATGTCTTTGAAAATGAACGTCAAACACACATATAGGATTGCGAAATATAATATTTCGAAATAGAGTATGTTAAAATTAAATACCCCATACAACGTATCTAGGAATATGACTTTATTAAACACCGTACCAAACTGTAATCTTAAGGTTAGGTATTTGTAGTTAGGACTATTATAAGAAAGTTAATGTCTTTTGAAATATTAACTTAATTAGACATAAAATACATCTCTGTTATATTTTGTTGAACTAAAATAAACATATCAATGCGATCCTGCCACAGTTTTTTAGATTGCATTTCACAATTTCGTAGTAATAATTATTTGAATGTTTGACCTTCATACGAAAGCTTTTAAAAGTTATGGTATGTTATCGCCCTATCAACAAATGTGAATTTATTACCACAAGTTCGATCCAAGCCTATGTCTGGGACCATTAGGTCTATTGAATGATTACTGCGAAATCAATATAACCTGAAATTGTATTCATGTGTGTTCGTTGGTAATACCTCAATCTGCATATTGGATGAAGTATATGTTCGTGTCCCAGGTACATGTAGCATTGTTAGCTTACAATGTGTTGCTAGAGATTGACTGTCGCTGAGATATATCCACTCTCAGTGGCCAACGTTTTGTTAAAGACAGTTTTGCTGGTGATCGTGTTAAATTTTTATAAAAATTTAAGATATGATTATAAAACAGATGTCGTGGTTAAACATGGCCGGATTGATAACTTATATTGCAAAAGAAAAAAAATGAATTACAGGGATGTTCAATCATAATTACCGTTCGAAAAGTACGGATGTGCAATTATTTACAGGGGTTCGATATCGAACTTGGATTTGTGCTATGCTCATTAGTGTGAATTGTGGCTTCGTTGTCAATATACAGATTATCTAGTTAAGCACGTGATTTTACTTGGAATTGCCCTAAATCTACATGGGAGTTTTCATCAATGAAGCATAAGGCGATTACTCTTTCGGAACATCTGTTCTTTTTCCCCCCTTGTACTTTTTCAATGGTGTTCATGTAAATAGTTTATATGGTAATTTTTTGCACTAGTGTCATCGATGAGGAGTTAGAATTACAGTTTTCTTCACATTTATGTATATTTGGTTGTCATACAAGCCAAACTCAGTATACGGGAATCATCATACCATGTGCAACAGTAGGTGAGCACCCGACTTCGTTTCTGTTAGTGAGAGTTTAGGAAGTTTTCCTCTGATATCCGATTGGCAGTTTTGATATCTGAATGTTTTAATTTTTAATTCGATTTTATCGTTGTGAGTTTGGCACTGTTATTTTCTGTTTATGTTAAGCATTCGGCTTAGGCATTACAAAGACGTGTATCCAAGGTATGCGGTTTGCTCTGTGCCGTTGTTAACTTTCTTACCGTGAGTTGTAGGCAGTTGCTTGCTTCTAACCGGCATAAATGTATTATGGCATAAGCTGCCTTTAGCTTACAATAGCATACGATATATTCTGAGAGGAAAAAGAAGGTCAGGTGTGAATAATTGATAATGCGTTTGGTTTATGACCAAGATATATAATACTGTCAGTAAGTTGACAAATGTTTCAAATCTTTGTATTTGGTAATTTAGGCACTTGGATGTTGAATTATTGGTTAAGAGACTTACACAATTGCTGTTATATGTTAATAATCATCCCACAAAACAACAACTGAATATGTGGGTGTGAAAGACCGAGACTTCTGAGAGACAAGAAGCGTTGCTAATTGGAAATGAACAGGTCAACTCTAGATATAGAAATAATATTGGTTAGGTCTTAGATGGTTGCTATCGAGTTATAGAAGGGATTGCATCAGTGGATCAACGTAGTTTTCCAGCTGTATGTAGTTATATTCAAGGATTAATTTGAATATATTTTTTATGTTAGCGAGATATAACACAAAAAACCGAAGCGGTTTATGATGAGAGTACACTCTGTTTTTTGTGTTATAGCTCCATAACATAAAAAATATATAATCAAGTAAATCCTTATAATTTTATCTACTTTACACAATGCCTGTTGAAATCCACTTTTATTGATGGACTCTTTTCTCTTTGAAATCAAAAGCGACGTTACAAACGGCGACGTCATTTTTTACGTTATGGGCTGATAACATACATTTTTAAGCCAATGAAAATGCTTGTTACAAGCAAGATTAAATTATATACATATGTATTTGCGTTAAGGTAGAGTCCTTTGTTATCACATGGATTCTTCTTATTCAAAGGTTCGAGGCCTCCAAAAGCTATATTTTAGGTGAAGTATTCGAATTGTTTACATCTCTTATGTCATAAAAGTCGCAAAAAACTGCCAACATTTATCAGAAAGTTCAAAAACCTGGTCCCAGGTGGAACTTTTATTGTTTTAATTGTCATCAAAAGACATCACATATTCATTTGATTAGCTGGTAATATACTGTATTTGATAATCAGATGTCTGTATGATTAAAATCATGCTATAACTAGAAACAGGCATTGATAAAAATGACCTTGGTGCCACCAGTTGTAACATTGTTAAAGTGACCGAAGAAACTAAATCAGTAAGCTAATATCCACTCTTATATTTTTGATCCGCTGAGTTTTCGACTCGCCAAATTTATATATATGGTAATTTCAAACGAATTCGCCCAGTGTATAAGTTGTTGTTTTAAATCTCTTGATCTTCATCCATCAAAATGTCCACCCTGTTTAGAGTTTGCCTTTCTTAATAACAAGCGAAGATAAAACAGGAAGAAATTTCTCATTCCATAGAAAGTAGAGATATTTGGGTGTTTTTAATTTAACCAAAAACAAATGCAAAAATGAAATGAAGCAATAAAAAATACATAAGATAAAATAAAATGTAAATGTATAAAGAAATAAATAATAATTACGATATTACGATAAAGAAATAATAATATTATGAAAGAAAAATGAATGAATCATTAAAATGGAAAGTAGATTCCCTGTCTAATCCGATAGTAAATCAATCAATCTTAGGTCACAGAATTTTCAAAACATTCATTATACCATGTATCAATGATGAAGTCAACTTTTCGTTTTACTCTAGTTATGTCTTGCTCGAGTCAAAGTTCAACCAAATCCCAGTCATTGAATGTCTAATTAGTAAAACAAACGTATGTTAATGTAAGGAATGTCACGTAGGTTTAGTTCGATCTAATTTAGATATCTTCCTCCCAGGATGTAAAAATATATATTCGAGACGATCAGGTATACTCATGTTCACCCGATAAGCATACAAATCTAGCGGTGTATTATATATATTATTAGTTTAATGATACAATGTACCTTGTAGATTCAAAAGCCATTGTTAGATTTTAAGCTATGTCTTTTTTAATCGTGGTCATGTTGGTTGATGATTTAAAATCTACACGAATATCTTTCTATAAATATTTGAAATATATCTTTGGCATAGCCTTGAATATGATATACATTGTGTCAATTCTCACTTATTTAATGAGTTCAGAAACGATAGAAATTGTTCATGAATTCGGTAATAAATAATTCAAGGGACATTACAGCAATACGGATATGGCATTGTACTTATTTTAGCGAACTGAAATTCTCAGCACATCAATGAATTTTAACAGGTAAACGCATTAATGACTTGGCGAACTCATTAGATATACTTTATAAAACTGTAAACAAGAACTGCAATTAGCGCAAATATAATTCAATACAATATTTAGGGGGCGAAGGGCACTAAAAAATATTTCCGCTAAGTTATGTATAATAGCTCGTTATGCTATACACAATTTGTGGGTTTCTTGCAACGTTGAGTTGACGTACTCGTCAACAGAACCAACTGGTATTGACACAGCATTAAGTTTTTGGTTTTCAAATTGTCAAATATAGTTACTGTTAGATACATTTAACAGTACGATCTCCACTCTTTGAATTTTTCCTAGAATGGTTTTTATCACGTGGTTTACCCTTTAGTTTTCGCAATGGATGCTGGAAGCAAGACAGCTGAATATATAAAAAGAAATAGCAGAAAGAGAAAACACCAATACAGCTGGTCACAGAAAATTGAGAGTTTAAATAAGAGAGAGAAAAAAAGAAACAAAAGTAGAAACAATGAACAAGAACTAGTCTGAAAAGTGACCTGTCTCTATACGCCAATATAAACCGGTCATATCATAACTCAAAGTGTCAGTGACCGGATTGTCCGACCAGACGACACTGATCTTACTCTTTGACTCTGATAAGCACCTATTACAATTCGAAAGATTAGATACTCACACGATGTTTCTTGATGGTAGAACCTGCAAGCGGTTCAGTGATACAGTGCTGGCAGATATAATAAAATTGTGTTTAGTAAAGATTGGCTGATAGTTATATTCATCTAAATGTTGAAGGTAGATCGACAGAGGCGTTTTACCAAGTAAAGTCATTTATAACCCATTACACAGCATGC